TAGACGACAACATTGCCACCAAAAGAAGAAAGGACTTATTTAGCGTCAGATGTCCCAGTTTGGTTGTGAATTTTAAAGGAACCCTATTACGGTTCTTTGTTATATTTGCAAAATTGCTGATGTATTTCTATTTATAACCATCTGATGCGTTAAGCCTATTTCAACTATTTTATAATTTGTTCTTGTTACACCACTGTCCCAGTTTAGGGGGAGGGTTGGCGCCTTTAAACTAGTTTAACCCCGCCACATCCTGTATTTGCCTGTTCCAATTCAGGAGCTTGTTATTCAGTGGTTGTCGTTTGTTGCTGCGTAACATATTTGTTTTTCGTTCATTATTTTGTACATAAATTAGGCCGTTAGTTTTATCGTTTGAATTGTTTTCCATATGTCATTTTTGGGTCTTTTATACTGACTATGCGGTATGGGCTTTACTTCTTGTTGACGGCCGTACGGTGATATACAGTTGTACTGTAAATTCAGAAATTATTGCGATGTTTTTATTATTGCGAAAAATGCGACAGGGTTATAATCGCAATAACGTAGACTCGTATTTTGAAATTTTTATATGAATTAAACAGTATTTTTCTCAATATCGCAAAAAATAAAATCGCATTTTAGTCTAGAATGACAAAATCGTAACAATAAATGCACGCAATGATTTCTGAATTTACAGTACACTTTTGTGTCATTTGGTCTCTTGTGGAGAGTTTTCTCATTGGCAATCATACCACATCTAATTATTTTATTCATTTAAATTTACCATAATCGTTTATCTTTATTTTCTTTAGTATTTCTTTTTTTTTTTAAACAAATTACAGTGTTTGTAACACATTAAATAGACTTTGCCAGTTTTTTTTTAAAATGAAATTCACAGATACATTGTATATGTCAAAATATTTTTGCGTATATAAAGGTATTTACCGTAAGGACGTTTTATTATACATTGATGAACCGAAATTGCATATAATTGTAACACCATCCAGTAAAGTAGTTGTATTATTAAAACCTTTAAAAAATATACTTGCGAAGAAACAAAACTTTAGACTGATAGATGCTTTTTTTTTACCTCCAGTTGCATATATAACATGAACATTCAGGACGATAACATGTTGATGTGGTACATGTATAAAGATACCCTGCTTTGTACTTACTTTACCAAAAGAATTAAGAATGTGGACGTGGTAGCTCACAAGATAACAGATAGAAGGAAGACATATCCTGCCCTGCTCCAACATTTTTTTCTGACCATAAGCTTTTGCTTCAGCAAATGCATCCTTCCTCGATCGAGGCTAATTAACCACGAGACCATTGAGGCGCGCACGCTACGGATCGCCAATAGGGGCTATATAGTTTGAAGGTGTACCTATAAATGTATAAACCATCTTAAAAGCTGAATCTTACTTCAATTTTTTTATTATTATATTTAAAAAAACACTGGCAAATTAGGGCAAATTCCATCCGAAGATGTTGTATCAAATACAGATAATCTAATTGCAGCACATTTTTATCGACGGGACAGATAGTCGCTGTGTTTTCTGCCTGAAAACACTCTCAGAGGTCATAAGGGATGGTTGAGCGCCCATATACTAGTACCTATCAAAATTCAAGAAGGGCATAACATGTATACCGAGAAAACAATACCTTGTTGCGATGCAAGATATGGACGGTAGTATTAATCACGTGTTTAGGACACTGTGCTTGAAATAAGAAGAGTTTGCCTTACGTTTATGAGAGTTCCCATTACATAGACCATCTTAAAAGCATTTTTACAAATTTGTGACTTGGATGGAGAGTTGTCTCATCGGCACTCATACCACATCTTCTTAAATCTATTAATTCATCAGATGTATTGTTCCATCTGAAGAAATCGACAGCTATACTTTCGCATTACCAATAATACCATGGTGTAAGTTAGATACATCCAATCGGGACAACGTCGACCTCGTGGGTATACATCATTTTGTACATGTTATATCTAATATGTACACATGTTGTTGAAGACACGTTCTGGTTTCGATGAAATATAATAGTGTAGCACGTAAGACGATACTAGGGAGTCACACGTCTATCGGCTTTATCAATTCCATCACATGTGATGGCAAGCAAAACGATCGTTTTGATAGAATTCACAGTAAAACGTGCGTCACCTAATAACACTTATTAATCCTAGTGTTTTATTAATGTTGCTAGTCAAATTACATACTGGTATAAAAGAAAACGGAGTAAGCGCAAAATGTTTTCACACAGGTGCCTGATTCTCGTTTTATTTGCATATACAATAAAGAGCGATTACCCAGAGAGGTAAGTTCCTAGTCGTTTTAGCACTTTAAAAAATATTTATAATTTCGTTTCCATCCTCTGTTACATATTTGAAAGTTGAAAACTCCTCTCCACATATTCGATTAGGGAATTTATACATTTCAACTATTATAGATGGTTTAAAATTTTCAACATAGGGTAAAGGTACCAAATCAAGAACAGCAAAGGAAACCTTCAGCTGTCTCGTGACCTGTACTTCTATTTGTAATATTCTATGAAAGTTCTGTTCTGTTTTCATGGCTTTATTTCTATTAGATATAATTTTTAAACATCGGAAGACTTAGATTAGTACTAAATTTCCACAATGAACTTATCCCAAACATGTCAATGGTTTAGGGTTAGATTTTTCAGTTCATCTTTGTATATAAAATTTAGTATTTTGAATAAATCCTGCCATGTTCACGTAGGAGCAGAAACAAATTATCAAGTAATATTAAAGAGATATTTATTAAGCTGCCAATTGCATTACATGTACCATGTCCTAGGTTAAGCACTACAATAAAAATATTATACATTTTTTTAATTATGTCGTTTAGTTATCTTTCTTTTCATACAGGTATGATTTTTACAACATCTGACAATTTTGCACAACCTGTAGCTTGAAGAAAAAGCTCCGTGACCTATACTTGTTTACATATTTTTTAAAAGCATAATATAGTAAACACCTACTTTTACTATTCTAGCTGTACACCCTAGTTTTCTAACCAAAATTTGCACAAGCCTACTTTTTTTCGTCGTTTGTTATATAATTAAAAATCATCAGGCAAAGTTGGCCTTGGATGGATTTGGCTATTTCTAGGTCCTTTTACAGTTATATAGCTCTTCAACTGTTTTGGTTTTTATACATCCTTGGCTTTCAAATATTCGGGTCTAAGCGTTCCTGATGAAGATACACCCAGAAAAGCGCTTCGGTCGCATGGAATTTATAACGTGTTGTTTTCATTTTTTACAGCACTGAATCGATACCTCTGCTGGTGGACTATCAGCCCCCGTGGGTAATAACTATCATCAGCTTAGTAGTCAGTACTTCGGACTGACATGATTTATGACAAACATTTCTAAAGTAGTCCGTTTCTAAATTTTGAAATTATAGAGAAACTCAGGTTTCAACTCCCTCAGGCAAAGTTGGCCTTAGATGTATTTTGGCTATTTTCTAGGTTCTTTTTAGTTATATATCGCTTCAACTGTTTTAGTTCTTATACATCCTTGGCGTTCCTGATGAAGGTAAATCCAGAAAAGCGCTTCGGACGCATGAAATTTATAACGTGTTGTTTTCATTATTTAGAGAAACGATAACATAAAATATCCACACTTTTTAGAGCTATTTTCCTAACGCTTGAAGTTTAAAGGTTTGGTTGGCTTGCTTGCTTTGTTTATAGAAATAAGAAGATGTGGTATGAGTGCCAATGAGACAACTCTCCATCCAAGTCACAATGTGTAAAAAGTGAACAATTATAGGTCAAAGTACGGCCTTTAACACGGAGCCATGGTATTTTTCTGTCTCTTTACCATGTTTACCCCTTGAGAAAGAAGTATTTATTTCAGATGACCGTTTGTTTCTTTTGACTTCATAACGTGTCTGTGTTTAGGGGATCAAGCTACAAGACTTGAGATATAGGGGTTGACTCATGCTCAATGTTGGAGACACCATAGGAACCTCTCAATTTCTTTTTTTGTCATTTTATTACATATAAAGTTGATGACTTAGTTGACTACATCTATCCCATTGAGTTTTCTAACAAACGATACCACATATACAGTTAGATTTGCCTAGTATCTTGACCTACTTTGACATTGACAGTGAGGGTCGGTTTAGGACTTAACTATATTTCCTATTTTGAACTTTCTGTTTATATGTAATAATAAACTGCACATGGTGTATATCCCGTTTGATAAAATTTGCCAGGACTTGCGTTTCTTTTAACGATTTCCTTAAAGGAAATGCTGCTCACAGGAAAAATGTTGAGCCGAGGGTCCCAATTGGTAAAGTTCAATTCATCTTATGGAAAAACTTTGGTTGCGTGTTGTGGATTAACCATATTATTCACTAATAAACCAAATCACTCCTGCCTTTCCTCGTCAATAAAATATTCAAAGGCGACACATCAGACTTTTTTTTTGCTATAAGATTTACACAAAAGGGATATTTGCGTGCATCACAAAATAACTTAATAAGTTTATATCAAATGTTACATTGAATATAATGACAACGTTGTTAATTCAAGCAAAAGTTAAAATAACTCTGATTTAAGGACGGGTCACCATCATCAGGGGCCAATAGCCGAAAAATAAAAATAAACAACTCTCAAACTTTACAATGAACCCAAACAGTCGGCGAATCCAACTCAATTAAATGTCAGCGAATCCAACTCAACTAAATACCAGCGTAATGAAACCAGATAGTCGTAATAGTGACTGTTACAGTTCCACTAACTGAATATGCTGGCAATGGTAAAACATCCGCTGATAACGAGGACGGGATTGTGGTAGACTGACGAGTGCTGTCCCTTGGCTTTATACATACGCTCAAGGTATATATAGATCAGATTTGAGACTTGTTAACAACCTATAGGGATTGTGGCACAAATTATGCACAACCTTCAACAAGGTCATAATAGTACTCTTAAAACTTTCGAGAATTAAGTCTTGATTTTTTTTTCACAAATTGTTAATTCATATTACATGAATGATGTCAACTGCATGTATATTAATAAAATAATTGGGCATTATATATATACTATCACTTATTTCGATTTATCTAACATTTTATTGTTCCAATACCGTAAATAATAACTCCTTAATATACATGTGTACATGTGTAAGTGATCGCCATTAAAAAAAATAATGCTTATACAACTAGCATTGTAAAAACTATTTGATGTATAAACCTTAACCATGTGTTCAGCTTACTTTTGATAAAAATGCAATATATATATATAGATATAAGTGTTCAAACTGAAACATTAAAAAGATAAATTCGCATCAACTTTATTTTCCATGCAAAGTTACTAAACGCAAATGATCTTAAACATTTGTGAAATTTCAGAAATTATTAAAAAAAAAAACAGATGAAAATAACATTTTAAGCAAGACTAGTACGACCATTTTTACTTCTTGTTTCGAAAGCGTTGCTTTACAAAAAGATTGGACATGATAATTTCAAATTGGACATAGAAATTGAAATGTATTAATAAACCGTCGTTTATATTTCAGTAACAATCAGGTACGATATAACAGAAAAACTTGACAGTATTAAAGTTATTTAATAACAAAAAAAACAGTTGATACTCTAGTGCGCCTCGATTTATGAATTCATATCTGGCTGTCATTAAAATATTTATTACAGTTCTGGACATGCTGAACACTGATTAAATATTTATAAATACTTGTAACTAACATATCTACGTATTAATAAAATCTGCAATTTTTTCGTATTATCAACTAGATGTATATAAACAAAAGGCTCAAAGGAGCCTAAAAATACCCACTTTAATATCACAAATAACAATTTAACCTTGAAAGATCAAGGGATCATTCTTTTTATCCAGTGTTTAATATAAATTACATATTTATAATTTATAAATTGATAAATTCAACGAAAGGCATTAGACTGATTGTACAAATAAAACTTTTTATATACTTAGACCTTAAATTAAGTCACAGGGCAATATTTCATAATTCAAACTATTACATAGATTTAATGCGATGTTTTTATTGTTATTTTCTATATAGCCTGTACTGTTATTAAAAAAAACCCCGATAATACATAATTTATACTTTCTAGGCTACAAAATGCAATAAAAATCCCTTTTGAAAACCCTTCAGGCAAAAAATGGAAATGATTCCCCATACATGTATAAAGCCTCACCTTGCAAGTCTGAGGATTTATTTATCCACTAATGCTGATGAAAAAGTATTATTATTCTAGCATGCATTTTTTCGGTTCAATTTCTGTAATTATCAACAGAACAAAACTCGTACATGATTATTAAGTTCTCATATTATATACAATGCAGTATTCAACGACGAAAACTGTCAATTATATGTGATTGTCAATGTCCAATAGCTGAATTTATGTCAACTGTAAGTCATCCAGACAAAATTTCTTATGTGACCATATTATATTTTTTATTTTCAAATCTTCACTCGAAAAAAGTAGATTCATTACAAAAAATGAGAATTCTCATTTTGCGTGAATTATGTTAAGTTTAAAGGTCGTCTCATTAGGCAAATAAAACCATTATGATTTCAATGCAGCCCAACACCACACTAAGATTCATCAAAGAAGTCTTCCCATTGGTTTTTTGTGGAGTTTTGAGACAAATTTAGAGGTCATATAAAGAAGGCGACGACCATTACATACACAGGATTATACTTTTGTTAAATAAGCATTCATTCAAAAGAAAACAAAAACATGATCGTTTCAATACGGAAAAAACCCAGCAGATATAAACAGAGTTCACGAGTTGCATTAGCATATCTACCACAAACTGTGCGCTGATTACAACAAATAGAAGAAAAACTAGAGGCTCTACAGAGCCTGACGTGTACGTGTCGCTCAGGTCTATGTGTATATTCAACAAAGGACACTCTCCAATATTGTAGATGAGAATAGAATTCATGACATCAAAGGGCAATAACTCTAATAAAGAGTCAACTGACGATTTCGGCCATATGACTTATTTATAGATCTTGTCTTGCTTATCTTTTTTGCATATTAAATTTTCTCCCTATCTATTATAGTTTCAAGATAAAAGGCAATATGAAAATAAATGGTAAAATTTGTCAATTAAGGGCAATTACTTCTATAAGACGTCCCCTGACAATTTTTACGTAAATAGACAATTGGTAGAGCTCAACATTCTTAACATTCCTGCCCCTGTCAGATTGTCTCTTTTTATAACGGTTTTCAAAATAATAGAAAAAAATTTGCATTTTACCCCTATGTTCTATTTTTAGTCATGTCGGCCATCTTGATTGGCAAGCGGGGTCATCGGACACTTTTTAAACTAAATACCCCAATGATGATTGTGGCAAAGTTTGGTTAAATTTGGTCCTATGGCTATAGTTTCAGATGAGAAGTTTTTTGTAAAAGTTAATGGGAAAACGACGACGACGTACGACGGACGCCAAGTGATGAGAAAAGCTCACTTGGCCCTTTGGTCCAGGTGAACTAACAAAAAAGGAATAATGGATAAATTCTGTTAGGACTTCTGGCTTGAATCGTCAAATATCTATTGGAAGACGTGTTTCGAGAATTAAGTATTGGTTGAGGTTTTTCCAGAATAAAATACAGTATTAAATATACTTGAAATAACAGTTTAACTTAAAACGAACTGTGATTTTTGACTTGCTAAGTGTCTAGTGGAAACTAGTTCATGCATATTCGATGAATATCATATTATACAGTGCTGTATAATACTTATAACTTGATACATTTTCAATTGAGCATTATAAAATTTATAATACAATTTTCAATAACAATGTAACAGTAACTATAAAAAACATGTTCCATTTTCTAATACTATTCGCTGCGTTACAGTCATTTTTCTCACAAAAACAAATTCGTCCCGTACCAGGTCTTGATTCTTCCATACACACTAAATGAATAGTCATTAAAATTCGCAGGTTATCTGAGCAAGTACGTTGATATCTGTAAACACCTGGAATAATATAAAAAATGTAAAGAATTATAAAATGCATCGAATTTCCGAAATAGTCAATTTCTGCCAGATTGTCTATTATTCCGGCTTTATATTATAGAGTGAAGTTGTTTTGTATTGATTTTTACGATCCTATGTGTGCCTTTTGTTATTCCCCTGATCAAGATTAAAAAGGGGGAGGACTTAGATATAAAGTAAAAACTTCCAGTTTGATTTTAGTCATATGTTCTTAATAATAGTTATGAACGAAAACAGGCAATGTATCTCCTCTTTGTGCGAAAGTTTACAACTCCATCTAAGAAAAAAAGAAGAAATATCGTAACAAATGGCTACAGGGAATGCGTACTACTGTTTGTTCAGTTTGAGTCGAATTTAATACAGATACATGTAAGATAAAGTAAAATGACAAGTTGGACATATCGTTCAAAAGATATTATCCGAAAACCATATCCAATAAGGCTCGTGTGTGTTAAGATTGATATATGGTTCAAGAGATATCTGAAAAGTGCCCGACGGAGCAAAATCCAACAATGATTGGTAAAGATCTGATAAAAGACTCAAAAGATGTTGACTTGAAACGAAATTTTCTCCAAAATTTCAGTAGATTTATAGGCACCGCGACTTGATCTTTGACATAATGAAACTTCTTTGAAAAATCAATAGAGACTTTTTTTTCACTAAGGGGGAATGTTAGGCTATAATGGTGGATATTGAAGTTAAGGTTCAGAATATTTATTCCGGAAACCAACATGTTGCCCCAATCTTAGTATACCAATTGCTGCTGCGGCCTGGAACTTTGAACTAGTTACCTCAAAATAAATAAGGGACTTCTTCACCTCATTGAAATGATTGATTCATTGACTGATTTGCGTGTAACGCCACATTCAGCGCTATTGTGCTATTTCGTAGAGGTCAGTTTTTATTGTTGGAGGAAGCCGGAGTTCCCGGAGAGAACCACCGACCTTTGGTAGAAAAACTGAGAATCCTAATCTATTAAGATTGGAGTCAAGCGCACCTGCCACGTGCGAGATTCGAACTCATTACCTCAGTGTTAACAGGCTAGTGATACAGCAGTTCGACTACTTAGACCACTCGTCCACAGAGGCCCATCGCCTAACTGGACATTTTTTTAACCAAGTTCGGTAAATTATATATTTATGGCTCAAAAGACATTGTCCGGAAACCGAAACGTTAACGTTTGACGACAATCATATGAGTATCATGACCCGATTTCGACGCTATAAATGGTAATACTTAAAACTTATATCCTAAATTGTGACGTCATTACATGAAGGTCGTGTCAATAAGTGAACGTTTATATACAGTCTTATTCGTGATGTAACTGTTTTGCACTGAAGCCACCTAAAGCAATCGGAAATCAATTAACTATTGTATGCATGAAAATGCCATTACAGTTTTCTTTCAGCAACTTATTATTGATCTTTAATATAACAAATTATAACATATAAATGTCTCTGTAGGGTCGCCTCTCCATTTATGCTCCTTGCCATTTCATGAACTTCGATTGAATGACTTATGACGTTTTCTAAGTGTTAACTTTTTCAATAACAATTTTATTGGGTTTCACAAGGAGTACAAAGGCTCTTGAGGAAATGTCTTGACAGGTCATTAGAAACGATATTACATCACAAATTCGCACAATGTGATTTAGACAGTGACCTTCGATAGATTATACACCATTTCATTATTACAATTCACGCAAATAGAACTTTCTAATCTAATGAATCGATATTAATCAGCTATAAATCTCTCGGCTAAGTTAAACGCTGCATGTGATTTTAAGCTATATGTAGTGCTTCTACATGTCAGTAACCAAATGGTTAATGGATTTTTGGGCACGTTTTTATTTAGCCTCAAAGTCAGGAAAAGCTCGTGCAATAAGATGGCGGGAGCCAAATAATTCAATTGTAATAAGACTATTGCTACCACTATTATCTATGCTTCTAAGCACAGAAAACGCATCATATTAATTTTATATAATCATAATTGCACACAAATCTAACGATCTCTTTTTGCTTGGGAAGGAGACCATTTTCGATTATCTTAATAGATCTCCTTACTATATTTTATCGAGGATGATTAAAAAAAAATAGAAAATATTTTTTTTGTGTGAAATACACGTATGATTGGGAGAGTTCTATGCTAGTACCTTGTGCATCCCAGGTTGCATAATTCAATCAAAATCCAATATACATTTTTGTTTATTTTATTTTTAATCCTATTAGAATGTTCACATAAAAAAACATCAATACATATTGAGAAAGAATTACCAGTACAATGGAATATTTAGTTATGAATTAAGTCTTGTGTAAATATACTTACCGGGAACTGGCGATCGAACCCATTTGACACATTGTCCACGACAGAGAGAATGGTTGACGTTAGGATGGCTTGCGTTGAATGGATCTCCACAATAGTTATTATTGGAATGTGAGTAAGATAGGCACTCATAACATTTGACGGGGTCGGCATAACGCCCTACTAAAGAAGAAAAAAAGAATGTAAAAATACAATATATACATTACCAGGTTAGGGTGTTACACATAGTATATGGTTCACAAATATGCTCAATATTTCCACAAACATTATCACTCTCCCGAAGTGAAGGTCTATATCATCCATTTACTAGTATTCAAAAGTTGTCTCTTTTGCATAGCTTCGCATCATGCTTCAGGAGCCATTCACACATCTTACTTCGAACTTCTTCATTTTTTCTATGTAGTGCTTTGTGTTTTGCGGACTGTTGTTTATCTGTTCATCTTTTTTCTTTTGGCCATGTTGATTTACGTCCTTCTCTAACTTATGATTTTTGAATCCTCAATATATTACATGTTTTACATTACTGTTTGTGTGTTTTTCTTAATGTTGCAGACCCTACGGTGTTCATCACACGTTTAGTTACCACCAAACAATCATCAGTCATCAATTTACCAATCAGTGTACAATGTTTATACTCATAGTCATATGGCATTCTTATTAACAGTAATATTCAAACAAAATGATTGAAGGTGTCATTGTCACGTTTTCAGAATTGCAAAATAACAATTTGAAACTGAAGGTAGATAACCCAGGCCATATACAGTTTGACCCTAAGACAAAACCTCCTACTCCCAGAAAGTGAAATCGAACCCAAAAGAATAGATGAAAACACTGACATCTTTGAAAGCCAATATTGCTGTGAATAATACCAATACTGACCCAATATCATATGAATGGCGTCCACAACATTAACACCAGTATCCTATTCATCCGCCGTGGCAACAACATGCTCATGAAATGTACGGTTTTCAAGGACAGGGTCGTACCCAATATCATTGTAATTGTACAGTCAAAGGACCAGTTTAGTCGTGATCAAGGTGCTCACAGCAAGTTCATGCTGCACAATGAGCAGAAATTTTTGTATTGCAGAACTCGGATATTATTTTAAGACATAATAAGCAAGACTTGGAGATTACAAAATAACAAAAATTATTGCAGGTTGTAAATATGAGATTTCCGAATTCTAATGATTTTTAACGTGAAGATAAAAAAAAACACAGTCATACCAAGCGGTTATTTGCTATAGGTAGTAATACCAAAGCAACGTAAACAAATGACGATTACAAATGACTTATTGATACCAAGTTAAAAGAATACCGTCAAGACAACGATTTTAAACTGGCCAAAGAGACTTATATATAGTGCTGTTATACTATAAAGTAATCCTAGTTCTGACTTTGCATATGCGAAAGCATAATGTGGGAGAGAAACATATACTTGTGTGAAAATGCATACATGAAAAACATGGTTTATACTAACGAGTGAAAAGTTGTCTCTGGTATGTTCATGTGTAGTGTGAGTGTTTTTATTTAAAGCTGCCCAAGCTTGTGGCGCTGTATTTGTTTGACTATTTTAAATACTTTGTTCTTTATTTGGGCAATTAACATTTTCTATTCGAGCGTCACTGATGAGTTTTTGTAAACTAAACGCGCGTCTGGCGTACACAATTATAGTCCTGGTATCATTGATGAATGAGTTGATTTTATTATACTTAGTAGTATTAATGTAACCTTTACAAGCATATGTTATTAAGATAAAATGAATGCTACTTTTATTAGTTTTATAGGTTTGTAAGAACGTTGACTGTGTGCAAATTTTTAGATTGAAGCGCTTTCAATAGCAGCACATAATCTCGTCATTGCGCTGATCTATATAAAAAGAAAATGTACTAAAATTTGGGTTTTATTTTTTTAGGTCTAAACCTTGATCGTTTTCGGTGTGTTTCAATAAAGATCACTACAAGTAAGTTATTTCCCTTTTTTACCGATCGACAATGTTTTTCTCCACTCCAATATAAAGAATGACAAGAAATCAGGTTTATTTAGATCAACGACTATTCTAAGTTTGATTAATAATAAAATTACTAGTATTTTTTCAAATGTGTTTAAAGCTTTCCAAATGAATAATTCTGACACTTAAGATGTAGTACTGTTGTAACAGTGCATATTTGAAAGAAAAGCCTGTATTGGAAATTTATTGTTAGGTCTCCTTCCTGTATATTTCAACATCAATAATCAATACACTTCACAATGAAGATACACGGTAAAGAAATCTTTCCGATACTAATTTGAGAACGGTATTGACATTTTATTTGTATTTGATGTAGATTATGGTTTCTAAGAGATATATACAATATAATAGAAGAAAATGCAAGTTTGATAAAACGGGTCCAAAACAAAATAGAAAATGCATGTGATAAATATAGACTAAATACCTGCGGAAATATATATGTACAATGCTATTCATATAAATTTGGACAAGTAAGATACCAGTATTAGAAGCATAGAATGAACATGTACATGTATTGAACCAATTCTGTTATAAACTAAGTAATCGTGTAGCAATAGTCAGAAAAACAGGAACATCTTTTCAAGTTAGATTTTGTTTTATAAAAAAGTTGTACCACAAGTACTTCTATATTGTCATTAATGGATACAAATATAAGTTGGAGTTTTAAAAAAATCCATTTTGCAAAGAACGACCTGTTCTTTTGTCTTGGTTTAAACGTCAACGATGATGCATATTTATGCAATTTTCCCGTCCTCTTTTCCTCGTTTGTGAATTAACTAAATGTGACTGAAGACCGAATTCATACTTAACATGAGCAACACAGCGTGTGCCACATGTGGAGAAGGATATGCTTACCCTCCGGAGAACCTGATATCACCCAAGTTTTTGGTAGGGTTCTGGTTGCTCAAGTTTTTGGTAGGGTTCTGGTTGCTCAGTCTTTGGTAGGGTTCTGGTTGCTCATGTTTTTGGTAGGGTTCTGGTTGCTCAGTCTTTGGTAGGGTTCTGGTTGCTCAGTCTTTGGTAGGGTTCTGGTTGCTCAGTCTTTGGTAGGGTTCTGGTTGCTCAGTTTTTGGTAGGGTTCTGGTTGCTCAAGTTTTTGGTAGGGTTCTGGTTGCTCAAGTTTTTGGTAGGGTTCTGGTTGCTCAAGTTTTTGGTAGGGTTCTGGTTGCTCACGTTTTTGGTAGGGTTCTGGTTGCTCAGTCTTCATGTAGTGTTTTGAAGACTGCTGTTTTTATCTTTTCGTCGTTTTTCGTTTTTTATGTCATGATTTTGTCCGTCTCTCTTCTACTTAGGAAGCTACCATTTGATTTTTATGGGGGGCTAGGATAAAAAATTTTGTCCTGCCTTTTTATTTTTCCCTCTATTCGGTCCTGCCTTTTTATTTTTCACTCTATTCGGTCCTGCCTTTTTTTTTTAGTTTATCCTGACTTTTTTTTTTACATAAATTGTCATCCTGCCTTTTTTTTTGCAAATAATCTCATCCTGCCTTTTTTTTTACTCAAAACTCCTGTCCTGCCAATTTTTTTCAAATTTCATCCTTGCCCCCCATAAAAATCAAATGGTAGCTCCCTTATGAGTTTTGGTTCTCCCGTTGGTATTTTTTGTCTCTATTTTAATTTATAAATGTTTCATAGCCAGACAGGTCTGTCAGTTAAGTACCTTAAGGGAATAAGTCTGGAAACCCCTTCTCACATATGAAAGAGAATAAAAGAATGTGTGTGTTTACGAAAGGCAGCCGCTAAATCCATGTTAATATTTTTACTTGGTGTGTTGAAAGTGGTCCTATAGGAAATATGTTTAAAGAAACTAGCTTCGGACATCACCAATCTCTCACATAAAATAAGACACAATTAAGGTAACAAAAGGCTTCACTCAAAAATCAGGAACTAGACAAAACCATATTCCCTCTAGATGAAGATAATCGATCTAGAAAATCGTGCGAGTACAAATTGTGCCAATAACAAATTATAGCTTTAAAATAGAAATAATGTTTTTCTGAAATGAAATGCGTTCAACTTTCAGTGCATTTTATACCAATGAATTAAATTTAAATAAATTTTTAAAAATGATTTTAGCAACTTACCATCAATTGTTTCAATTCCATCGCTGGTTAGAACGAGACAAACCATTAAAAACACTGAAATTGACATAGAAAACTGTATAAAACAAAACACTGAACACAGCTACTTCTTAAAAAGTCATATGTAGAATTTTAAGCTATATGATCCCACTTTTTCCAAATTTACAGAAATATTACAGTGTCCATATTTCGTATGCATTTCATAATTCTCCAATAATTTGTAAAAACTTTAAATGATTTGCATGGTATTCATTAATTTTTCATGCTTGAAATAACGTCTTTACGGAAAGTTTGTTACTAAAATTATCCTTCTTAACGTTTGGTATCCATGGATTTTCGTACATGTTTCCGGATTTACAATGTACAAATCTTACATGTATTTAATCCAGAAATAATCGCATAAACTCAAGTCTTTTTTTAAATATATAAATCAACGAATGACATTTACATAAGATTGAGGACGATTAACAGATGGTCCGAGGTTAGTCTGTTATGTTATCTAGATGCATATTTATGGGTCCAATTGTATATTATACAAATAGCAATATTCACATCACAATAGCATATATTTCGTTTCAGTCAATAGACATAGCCAGCATGTAGTTGTAAGAAGTTGACAGCTGTTCAATTAAACTTTTTATTTTCACTAAATCCCAATGTACTATAAATTATTTTTGCATTGTGAATTTCATTTGCGAATATATATTTATAAATTAATTAAACCGAATGTCTCCCAGTATTGATTTCATATCGCACGGATCGTCATAATTTTATTGTTCATCTGAATATGTGTTATTTTGATTAATATCTGATAATGCTTCGCTTCATACTGTTAATGTAGATTGCATCAGCATGTACATGTATATCAGTATATTTACTGAAACAGCAATAGTCACATCAAAGCACGTGTGTAAATAAACTTTGCTTGAAAAGAACGTTTTATTTTCTAGTCTTGGCGATTTTTTAAGATCTCGCATGTATACACGGATATATCTGATGAACACATCACAATAATATAAGAATAAGGAGGCGTTACGTCCTTCAACATGATTTACATTTGAAAGTTTTCCAACTATTCACTTAATTCAGCTGAAACATTACAATAACGTATTTGTTTCTTTTTCTTTCCAGTCACATTTTTAATATTCCTACGTGTAAAATTATTTTAGTATAGTAATATAAAAGTATTTCTTCAGATTTTAAACACGTTGTCTAAAGTCCAGAATTCAAAACAATTGATCAAATTTAGCAATATGAAAAACCAAACAACCGGTTTTCACAGAGGACGGAATAATCCAATTCCATATTGCACTATGAGTAATATTATATTTCTCCAATCTTGCACGCGGTCGTCTGCCTTCTTAGATGGAATTGATTTGGTATAGAATTCTCTGAGAGCTTAGTCGTGTCATTAAAAAGACAAGGAAAAACGATATGTGGTCTGTAACTAATTGACTCTAACGAGAATACTCACGGCAGTAAACATACGAACGACAGCCTAAATTCAATTTCGTAGAACTGTATATTGGTGTTGAAATAAATGATTTAAATTGTTTTGTTCTGTTACCATTGTCCAAGAAAGTGTCAATAATCGTTATTATAATATTTTCGATTTGTCGTATTACTCTAATTATAATCAGTTTGTTTTTATGGAACCTTATTTGAGTGTGTTTTGTGAGGTAAACATTGATTTAATGTAAAGATTATCGATATGGTACATAGTATGAATTCATCTGTACAAAGTTTAGGTGAATAGACATCTATTTCCGATAATGACTTAGTTTTAGATTATGGTGAAATTTCGATTTACTGGATGTCAACTTTAAACCTTTTACAGTTGTCAGTCACAAGAGTAATCAATTACTACGGAAGGAATACACACTGATTTAAAATCGATATATCACATATGACAAAACTGTAAAGAATATCGATAGTTGTTTGCCTAATGTCCAGTGGTAAATATTTCATGCATGTTCAAGAAGTGTCCAAATTAATCATTGATACAATAAATAGGTCCTGTAATGTGCATGTCAGCAGGGATGAAGGTGGGAGAAATTGGATTATAACTAAAAAATGACGGTATGTTTGATAGGGACAGGAATTTTGCCTTGCAATAGGCCACCAACGGACCCCTAAAAGTGATGTTTAAAAGGTTCTATAACGTGCAAAGAGCGTGGCACTCTCTACAGGAGGCATCGGATTTAATGTCCTATTCTGACAAGACGGTGGTCGCGTATTTATACATCTTGCACAGCCAAACAGATGCCCCAATTTAGCAAAGGTTTTACTGCCAGAATGGGAGAAGTCCAAGGGATGATCATATTTTTAGTCCCCGGTCTACTCTTGGCGTTTCTGTAAAGAATATATCAATGAATAAGTCAAAAAGGAAAGTAACTATAAATAATGCAAGTTCTTTATAATTGTTCCAGGAATGCGCATGTGTCCCTGGTCAGGGGAGGGTTTGCGCCTTTAACCATGTTTAACCCCACCACATTCTTTATATGCCTGTCTAAAGTCAGTAGGATGTAGTTAAGTGGTTGTAGTTGGTTCTTGTCTGTCATATTTGTTTTTCGTATATTATTTTGTTATAAATTCGGATTTTTCTCATTGTTGAAGGCAGTACGGTTGCCTATAATTGCTAACATCATCTTTATTTGTTGGACAGTTGTCTAATTGGGAATCATACCACATCTCCTTACTTGTATATGTGGGCGGCGTGCGGACAATATAGATTTACGTTGTACGTGAACGTGACAGTTTTTATAACATGTCAAGCTAGTAAGTAAGGGTTGATAGATTAATGTGTGCCTAGCGTTCAGTGGCGAATATTACATACATATCCATGACAAGGTGTTTAAATATGTCGTATTGTTGAGATAGATCCTGATTTAAACCTTCTATAGCTATAAAGATAAAATAGGACCCATTTAAAACAGGTCATTTGAAAGTTTGGTTAGAACTGATAAAGTGTTTCAAAGATAATAAAGGTAAAAATATAACGAACCAAACTGGTTAAAAGGTGAATTAAAAAGTCCAATCCAGGCGAGATGTATTAAAAGTAACAAGAAAAGACGTCGTCAAACAGTCTACTTAACTTAGATCTTTTGACAATATGCACGAACAGTAAAGGTTAAGATGGCTCAAAGTCATAATAATTTGTCAGACATCTCAACATGAAAACTTTCACCTTTACGAGGGCAATTATTTTTACTACGAGCAGACCAATCTTTGCCTTAAAAACTTTTGAACCCCTTTTGATGGAATAATAATAGACATACATGGGGGGGGGAGTGTCAAAAGGAAGTCTTCCACTTAACTCAGGGACAAAACGAACTTCCATTAAAACGAGGAGTGATATCAGGTGGCCACTACCGGAAAGCATAATTTTCCTGCTTCTCTTGAGACATCACGTAGTTCCCAACAGTTAAAGCGGTTTTCTCCCTTTCCTTTGTTATATTATTGGTACCGTTAATGCTATTTCTATTCATCAAGTAATAAGTCTGGCAGGCATGCGTGGTAATATTTGTACGATTAACCACTTGAGGTGCTTAAACTATAGTAGTTATATTAAAACCCTTCTTGGTCCATAACAAACTTGGCTTTAGACCTGGAAAAAATCAACTGTTGACGTTATTTGTGTTCCACTTGCAATAATTCCGCATTCTCTTCAACATAAACCAAAACTCTTTCTTTTTCGTTTTTGAAATTCCGCAAAGCGTTCGACAAAATTAGCAAGATTATTCTTATGTATAACATACTACGGAATGGTTTTAGTTTGTAACTTTGGTTAGATCAGTATATTCGTCCGTGTAAATGCGTGTCAATACTGACGATATCCTGTCTGACTCATTCGAAAACAAGGGGAACCGTTATTACCTCTACTGTTTTTATTTGTTTTTTTTTTATTAATGACTTGATTGGAAAATATCTTGTTCTATAGGGAACACTTGACAAATTATTTATTTACTGTAATAAATGGAAAATAGCAGTTATCAAATCGAAACTTGTTATATTCAAAAATTGCTGGCAACCGGTGAATGCCAATTTTTTCTACAACAATGAAGAACTAAAAATTGTCGATTCATACATAAATATATCTTGGTATGCTGATACACTCTTATTCAACATGTTTACAAACACAGAAGCGTTTTGCCTAGCAAGGTTCACGATCTTTGGTAGCTTTGAATAATTCTACAAAAGGTTAACGTTTATCAAAATGTAAACCACCTTTTGTATGGAGAGGGCTTACATAGCCTTTGCCTGTTGCCCAATCCAATTCAATTTATTTGAATAAAATACTGTTTAAACCTAAAAAAAAATGTGACTAGTTCGATGGTATCATTGTGTCTGTGATAAATTATGCTTCGGAATATGGGGTTTCAATTGTAGAAATGATGTTGGAAGTTATCCATAACTTTTTTGTCGATCTATTTTGAACGTGGGTAAAATACGTCGAATTATTTCTAATATGGCGAGTTAGGGCGTTTGCAAATGTATGCAATTAGAAAACAAAAAATTATAAAATACTGGTAAAATATCATAAACCTCTGTGTATAATGTCTATAAATTGTTACTCAGAGATGCAAATAATGGTAAAAGTAATTGAGTTTCATATGCTCGTGACCTGATATTTAGTATAGGTGTAAACTATGTATGGTATTAGCAGTCTGATATAAACATAATTATCATTAAACATTAAATGTTATAAAAATTTGACAACAGATCAATATGTTCAAAGCTGGATTGCATCTATAGAGAATTTGTAATTCTTTGAAATCCGCTTTGCAGATTAGGTCACCTCATTAGTTGATTGTTTGTCTATTAAACTATCTTAAAATATTGTTCTCTGCTCTTTATTATGTGTCACAATGTAAATATGTTTGTGTTGCTATAGCATGTAACTACTGCTTTGCTATAAAGATTCATTTCCATCCTTAATTCAATTATTCATACCTTTAAAACCTATACTTTTATTCATTTGATTATTATTTAAGCTTAACACGTACATTGTACTTAATTACTTCATTCACTTTAATTCAATGCCTTTCATATTTTTT